AAGTTTTGAAGTTTGGCCTTCCTAGTTCCACAGTGTCATTCAACTTTAATTTAAATTCTATGGGATGTGATGTTGGAATTAAATGTTACCTTTTACCATACAAATATCCAGTTTTTCATCCCTTTTTTAATAGGCCACCCTTTTTCCCGAAGGTTTAATGTCTCTTCTTTCATATACCAAGATAGTATAGGTCTGTCTCTGTGTTCAATTTTTTTCCCTATTGTTCTAATTGTCCATCTTGTACCCATGTCACCCCCTTTTCTGAAAATTTGTTGTAAAGTATATGTATATATAAAACATGAAATTTGTTAGTTTAATCCTTTCTCAGCGTGCAATTCAGTGGCCTTAATTATTTAAATTACTACTTAATTTCTCTAAATTTAACTATCTTAGCTACTCAAATAAGTGAAATCACACAAATTTTGTCATTTTATGTCTCATTTATTTCTATTAACATGTCTTCAAGATGCATCCATGTTTTAGCATTGTTGGAATTTCCTAGCTTCTTGAGGCTACACTGAGTAGCCTTCAGTTAACGTAATGGAGAGTTTTGAAATCTGAGGCTAAAGAATGATGACCACAAAACTTTGGCAGCTAGAATGCAATGTCATTATGAAGAAGAGATTATTGGGGAAAAAAAAAAAAAGCAGCCACTAGATACTGTGATGAGAAATGAGGGTCAGGATAACCTGATCTGGAAGCAATACTTCATTAGTGGCCACAACCCAGAGTGATAATTCCCAAAGTCTGAACCCCAACTGCAGTAGGGCTTTTAGACATAAGCAAGTTTGGGTACTCCAGGCAAGGGTATTGGTGCAATTCTATTGGAGGCTGCGTCTTACATTCCTTATATGGGTACAAGTTTGTCAACAGCCCAGGGGATTTCAGCCCAGAAAGCTTGGGGACTTTTACTGCACTAAACCTGGGGGTGGGGGGGCCTTTTGTCCCAGTTATTTTGTTTTCTGCTTCTGCTACTATAGTCACCTTGATACAGCTACCTGTCAGCTGCTGCAAGCATCTCTGATTAAATGCCAATAAGCAGAGCTATTGTGTGCCAATGTGTGAAACCACAGCCTGTCAGCTCTTAAGCTGCTAAAGTTTCTATTTTATTCTACCACAATACCACTAACTTGAAATAATTGGTGGCAATGTAGATGGTATTGGCATTTTAAAAAAAGACATATTGACCAATGGAACAGACTAGAGAACCCAAAATTAAATCCTCTATCTTTGGCTAATTCTCAACAATGGTGCCAAAAATATACATTGGAGGAAGGCCAGCCTTTTAAACAAACAGTGCCAGGGAAACTGTATATTTCCGTGTAAAAGATTGAAACTAGACCTCTATCTCTCACCCTATATAAAAATCAACTCAAAATGGATTAAAAAAAAAAAACTTAATGTAAGACCTGAAATGCTGAGACTTCTAGAGGAAAAGGTGGGGAAACATTTCAATAAATTGGCACAGGCAACAATTTCCTGGACAGGATTCCTAAACACAGAAACAAAAGCAAGAACTAACAAATGGGGTTATATCCAGTTAACAAGCTTCTGCACCACAAAGGAAATAATCAACAAAGTGAAGAGACAACCTTCAAAATAGAAGAAAATCTTTGCCATCTATTCATCTCACAGAGGATTAAATCTAGAATATATAAATAATTCAAAAACATTTAACAACAATAACAAAATCCAATTAAAAATGAACAAATGGTCGGGAGAGATAAATCTCAAAAGAAGAAATATAAACGGTCAATAAATATTTGAAAAAAAAATGCTTAAAACCGTTAGCCATCAGGGAAATGCAAATCAAGACTACAATGAGATTCCATCTCACCGTAGTTAGAATGGTTAATACTCAACAACAACCAAAAAATAGCAAATGGCAATGAGAATGTCAAGAAAAAGGAGCCCTTATACACTGATGGAGGGAATGTCAATTAGTTCTCTGAGACACAGTGTGGAGATTCTTCAAAAACTAAAAATAGAACTATATAATCCAGCTCTCCCATTCCTGGGTGTATACCCAAAGGAAATAAAATCTGCATATCCTTATTTATTGCAGCCCTATTTCCAATAGCCAAGAGAGGGGAATCTGCCTAGGTGAATGGATAAAGAAAATATGATCCATATACACAATGGAGTGTTATTTAGTCATAAAATGGAACAAATCCTGTCATTTGCAACACGCATGGAATTGGAGTATATCACATTAAGTGAAATGAGGTAGACACAGGAAAGACAGGTCTCATGTGTTTTTTCTCATATGTGGAAATTAAAAAAACAAACAAACAAATTGCAAGAAGCTAAGGGAATTAGCTATTAGGAACTGGGAAGGGGTGGCAAAAGAAGGGTGATGGATGTGATCGGTGCTTCCTCTATGAATGTATGGAAATATCACAGTGAATCCCATTAGTGTGTACAATTAGAGAGCATTCATTCATAATTATAATTTTAAAAATCATATTCACCAAAAGCATGAGGAACATAAATGATAAGTGGTAGGCTTATCTTCCAACAGTGGAACCCTTACTGTGCCCCCTGGTGGATGCACTCCTCCTGTAAGCACTACAATAGCTTGTGTTTCTCTAACTTTGGTCAGTATCAGAATCACCTGGAGAACTTGTTTCAACAGATTTCTAGAACCCACTCTGAGTTTTTGATTCTGTAGTCCTGGCCTATGACCTAAGAACTTGCATTTCTAACAAATTCCCAGTTGATGCTAGTGCTCTGGCTCACAGAACACTTTTTAAATCTATTTTTAAATGTATATTGCAAATTGACCAACTATTAAGGATATGAGGTACAAGATGACGTATTTTTTAAGACAATATGGAAAAATTTAATCAACCTAATTAACATACTTAACACCTCAAGTACTATTTTGGGGGGTAGGATTATTTGAAATTACTGAGTGATTTTGAGATGTACAATACACTAGTATTAATTATATTTACCACACTGTGCAATAGATCTCAAAAACCAAAAAGAACAAAAAATACCCCCAAACAAAACAAAACCCCCTAAATTCCTCCTGACGAAGGCTTTGTACCCTTTGACGATCATCTCTGTCCCCCTTCCACTGCCTCTGATAAGCCACCATTCTACCCTCTACCTCTGTGAGTTCTGTTGCTTTTGATTGCATATATAAGTACGAATATGTAGTATTTATCTTTTTGTGTCTGGCTTATATCACTTAGCATAATATTCTCTAATTCCAATCATGTTGTCACAAATGACAGAGTCTCCTTCCTTTTTAAGGCTGAATGGAGTCCCATTATGTATGTATACCACATCTTCTCTACCCACTCATCCTCTGATGGACACTGAGATTAAGTTCTGTTCCTTGGCTATTATGAATAGTGCTGCAGTAAATATGGGAAGTGCAGACATCTCTTTCACATACTGACTTCAAATCTTTTTGGTACATACCCAGAAGTAGGATTTCCAGATCATATGGTAATTTTATTTTTAGTTTTTGGGGATTCTCCTCACAGTTTTCCACAACAGTGTATTAGGGTACCCTTTCCTGCACATCCTCGCTACCATTTGTCATCTTTTGCACAGAGACTTTGTGAATGAAAACTGTAAATCACTGTTAGAGGGATAGGGAGCAGGGCATTGGGAATGTATACTGATTACACACAGGGAGATATACACTTATTTAAATAGTATGAAAAATGCATAAACAGTGAAACAGAGTCTCATTGGTAAGTTTAATGACATTAGAATTAAGAAATTTTCTCACAAAAAGAAAGTTAAAATTTCTCTTAGCCTTTGGTTGATTCATGTTTCAGATGTAATGTTGTATTGTTATTTGTGAAGACCCCTACCTTACCTGAGATAAGGCTCTGCTCCTACCTTACTCCATGTTAGAATGGCTTCAAAATAGACTAGATCTCAGCTCATTTAAAGTTGTGCTCAAAAGATTAATTTCTGTTGTAAAGATTATTGTGGTTTCAAATAGAGTATGTATTATATTATTAAGTAAAGGTTCAAAATTATAAAAGTCATTTTTCTTGGTTCATATCTATTACATAAACTGAATATGTTTTTTCTCTGTTCATTTCATTTTGTATTTTTCCTGTCAACTTTATAACTGTTGCCTATTAGTGTTTTGCAGAGGTACTACTTCTAAAAAAAAAAAAAAAAAAGAACCAGGGTTAATTTGAGATAATAAACCATCATCTATAGGACAGATAGTATATAATGCTATTATTAATACTAACCAGTACCAATACTAACCACAATTAAATGAAAGGGGTAACTGTCAAATTATAGATATTGAAGTTGTAACCTGTTACTCCCTCTTTAAGACTAGTGAAACTGGCTTGCTGGGTATTTAGAATCAAAAACTTGATGACCAAAGTTAAGGAAGTAAAATGGCCAAGGAAAAAGCAGCCAACATGTTGGCCCTGGCCCTCTAAGGTCATCCAGGACCCAGAGAATGACAGGACCCCTCTGTCCCCTGCAACTCTGGTGAGCCACCAGAGTTAACTGATCAGGGAGATCAGGAGAACGTTAGAGAACAGGAAGCCAACCAATGCACATTCTGCAAAGAGGAGGGTCATT